CCCCCCCCCCGCCCCCACAGCGCCAAGACGCAGCGCCCGCGGCGGGCGAGCAGGGCCAGGCAGCCGAGGAGGGCGAGCAGGGCATGCAGGGCGCAGCGCCGCCCGGCGGCCGTCCCCGCGCGGGTGTCTGAAAGCGCTTTCCGCTGCTAGCCCGGGTCCTGCCCTGCTGGGAGGAAGAGACCCTGGACGCTTTCCTGCCCTCTGGCCTCGGCCACCTGCGGGGCAGCGGCTCCCAGCGTGTCCATTGTGCCCCCCAGGCAGAGCCCGCTGCACCGCGAGCCCGGCCCGCAGCCTCCGGGGGCCGCGACAGGAGCGGGACGTGGAGTCTGAGTGAACCCTCCTGCTGTACAAGCGCGCTAAGTCATCGGCGAGCCGGAAACTTGGTAGCCCCAATCTTCAGAGGAGACCACCGAGGCACCGGACGGCGTCGTAACGTGCTCAAGGGACGCAACGAGCAAGCTGCAGAGACAGGAGTCGAACCCAGACTCTCAAGGAAACAGGCACTAAGTTGGCTTCTCTGCGTAAACGAGTCTGCCATTGAGCTTTTTTTTTTTTCCCCCTAGCAAGAGTCCCGGATTTAGCAGTTTAAAACTCACGCTGGTTCTCTCCCATGGAGTCTCCTGGAGAGCCGAGTATGCCAGGAACTAAAATAACAAAAATCTGGGGCAGGGGCGGGAGGGAGCTTGAAGACAGCCTTAATCCGAGTGTGGAGGAGGTGCTGGGCTGGAAGGGTTACAGGTGCTCTCTCAGGGCTCTCCCACGTTGCTTTGGGACAGTCCTCGCCTGACTTGGGGGTTGAGATGGTAGCAACCCCTGAAGCGCCAGGTGGGGCAGTGTTCCAAGTGGGGAGGGTACCAGAGCGGCTGGGTTGTTGCTTGCTTTCAGCGCGGTTTCTCCCTTGGAATGATCTGATAAGCTGTCAGAAAATGGGAGTGAGGGACAGTGGTTCTTGGCCACCAGGGACTCCTGAGCTCGGCACCTCCAAACTTTCTGGGTGCGTGGTTATCAGAGTCGCGGAAATTCTAGGGCGTCATGATTTCACAGAACAGGTGACTAGACACCCGAGGGGTGACCATATCTGTCAAAATTTACAGAACTGAGCACTAAAAACGGTCAATTTTATCATATGTAAAAGTGTATCTTATTAAACCAGACTTTGAAATTTCTCTTAAAGAGTCTGGAAACAAAAGTTGGCTCATAACAATTCAGAACTAAAATGTTATACATTTATCAATTTTATGAGGGTTATGGGGTTTAGAGAGGACTGCAAGGCCAAAATGGCAAGCTATTTGGAGCCAGTAGGTGGTGTGGCTTTAAGATGCTGGATTCCCACATGGTCCACCACGGGTTGAGTCCTGAACCAGTTGCTTGAGGATCATGCAGGGTGAATGTGTTCGCTCCCAAAGTTCCAAGAGGAGAATAGAGGAGAAGGAATTGCCCATCGCCCTGGCGATGCTTTCTCACTTTTCCCCTTTCTGGCTCTTTCTAGCATACACATGTGCCTTATGGCAAAAACCTTTTTTTTTTTTTAATTTTGTTGGAAGGTGCATGTGCTCAGTGGAGAGAAACAGAAAGCGAGAAAGCACTCCCGTGGGGATGGTCATGCCACCGTCCTTTCTCCTTCATTTCTCCTTTTGGGTGTTTGGACACTCATGCACACACACAGCATGTTTTTCAAGCCACCAGGTCTGGGGTTCAGACTGTGCAGTCGGCCATGTGGCATCCAGCCACCTTAACCACCACACCACTGGCTGGCCCAGACCCCTTGCATTTTCTTTCTCTTTCTCTTTTCTTTTCCTTTCTTTTCTTTTCTTTTCTTTTCTTTTCTTTTCTTTTCTTTTCTTTTCTTTTCTTTTCATTTTCTCTCTATCTCTTCCTTTCTTTTCTGTTTTTTCTTTTAAGATATTTGCCAGACAGAGACAGTGAGACAGAAAGTAAGGGAGGGATGACCATGCCACAATACCTTCTCCTCCTTTCTCCTCTCGGGATTTTGGGAATGCTTGCACATGTGCTGGCATGATTTTCGAGCTGCTGGGTCTGGGACCTGTACTGCAGTCGGCTAAGTGGGAGTCCAGCACATTAACCAGTATGTGGCCTACTGGCTCTGACTCTTTGTATTTTCTTTCCCTTTTTTTTTTTTTAAAGCAATTACTTATTTAATTTTATTATTATTATTATTATTATTTAATTTGCCAGAGAGTGAGAGGAAAAGTGAGAAAGTTAGCCTTCAGGTCTGGTGCAAACTGTGGTTTGCCATGTGGGAGTCCAGCTTCCAGAAGCTTCTCTGGATGTTTCTTATTTAATCCTTATAATAATCTTATGAGGTAGAATTGTTACAATAATTCTCA